ACATCAGTAATGCAGCTGGACCCACTTGATTACCCTTGAGAGTCTCACTGTGCTGTAATCCTTGTCCCTACCCCTAGCTTTCCAGCCAGACAGGATTACGGGCACACCTCTGAGCATGCCCGACATGTTCAAGTTAACCCAGGATCTGGTTCCAAGGCCTCCCGTATAGCTCTAGTACTGCACAGCAGCACCTTCCCACCTGAGCCACCATAGTTGGACTGCCTCTGTTTTTATTGACCAATTGCATTTCATAGTTTGAATATGTCAAATTGTTAGTCATTTCCTCATTGGCTGAAATTTAAATTGTTTCAATTCTTTACCTTTATAAACAAACCTAAAATGAACAGATCTGTAAAATTATTGGCACAGAATTATTACAAAAATGTATGTGGAATAATATTAATGAGATGTTTTGAATAATAACATTGAGCTGTTCACAAAATCAAAAATTGTGAGGGCATAACACATCAGTAATGCAGCTGGACCCACTTGAGAAGGTCCTCAGATTCCAGACCAAAGGCCTCTCTGGCATAACAGGGGTACAAGTGTGTGCCCGAGGTCTGGGCTGGCCAAGGCTAGAGCGAATTGTGGTGTGAAGAAACTATTGAGAGTCCCCCTCTCTCTTTTCTCATGAAAGAAAGAAACAAAGAAAAAAGTTAAGGACTAGAAAATGCCAGAACCTAGACAATCAGGCCACTGACTGACATGGCCTCATTCTATACATCCTAGAGATCAGGACATTCTTAGAAACAACAAAAAAGATGTTGGCATTTCAGAGGAATAGGAGGGACTTGGGAGTTCTTTATTTCAGGGATCTTAGAGGATCAGAACAGTATGAAGAAGCCCAAAGGATTCTAGATAGTCAAGGCTTATTTGAAGAAACGTCTGAAAAAGAATAGTATGACCAATAATATGGTAACCCTTTCCTGGTTTCCTGTGTGAGGACTATACCTGTATCTCAAAGAAAGTGGCCCGGCCCAGCCTGGTGGCCTAGACAATATGAGATGAAGGAGCCCCAGGTACAGACGAACATTTGTTCTAAAGCGTCAGTGGATGGAATTCAAAATGGTTTCTGAAAGCACCTCTTGAAATCATGTGATGTCTGGTTCTCTTTCCATTAATGATAGAGAGCTCAGTAGCCTGAAAACCAAGAGCTAAGGAGTTCTGTGCCCAAACAAACCTTACACACAGGAAGTCATTTTTTTAATCCACCCACAACGTTGATATACCTCATAACATCATATAGTACATGCAAATGCACATGACTTTATCTTTAAATAAAAAATAAATAAAACCAGAAATAACTATATTCCCTTTGTCCTCAATGCAATGAGAACAAATACTGATCTTTATTAGTTGGTGATAAAAAAGCACCAACTATGAACAAGAAAGCCTCAAAATACAACCTTGTTTGTACGATTAGGATCTCATTTTTCAAAATACCAGCAGAGACCAGTTAACACACATGGCTTACCAACCTTTCACCCTAGAAGAGAGTAGGGAAACTATGGGGTAAAAGGACATCAAAACAATGCACTGATAAAGAGCCTAGCACAAAACCAACACTATTATTCAGTAAGTGTTACTTCTCTTGCCCTTCTCCTGCTCTTAAGGAACTTACAGTCTTCTTTTGGAATGATGAAAAATATGCACAAAATAGAAAATGGTTAACGTCTGAGTAGAATGTATTATTACATTAGTTCTCTCTGCGTTTATCCAGTCACAGACATCCAGATACTCATTTTGATGTAAAAATCCTAGGGAGTACAGCCACTGCCATGAAAAACATGGCAGTTCCTTAAAAACCTAAAAATATAATTACTGTATGAGCCAGCATATATGCTTCTAGCTATATATTCCAAAGAACTGAAAGAGGGTCTCAAATAATTATTTGTACACCCATGATTATAGCAACATTATTTGCAATTCCCAAGGGGTGAAACCAACCAAATGTATATCAATAGATGAGCGAATAAACAAAATGTATGCACATACACATATGATGGGAGTTTATCCATTCTGAGAAAGAAAAGACCTATCTCATGCTACAACATGGATGAACCTTGAAAATGTGCAAAGTGAAATAAACTCATCACAAAAAGACAAATATCATAGGATTTCACTGATATACCTAAAGCAGTCAAATCCCTAAAAAGTAGAGTGGAACAGTAGTTTCCAAAGTTTGGGGGAAGGAAGAAAGGGGAAGTTGTTTAATCAATATGGAGTTTCAGTTTTACACAATTTAAAAGCTTGAGAGGTCTATCACATAAAAATATAGATATGTTCAACACTACTAAACTGTACACTCAAAAGTGTTAAGATGGTAAATTTTATGTTGTTAAGATGGTAAATTGTATATTTGTATTTTAAAATTCCATATTTCATCTCACAAATGCTGGTTACATTAGTACAGGTTTTCTTATTCAGTGATAGTGCTTAACCATTGGATTCAACTCACTGATTTTCTTTGTTCTCTATTGCACAAGGAAATCTCTGAAAGCGGAGAAAAAAGCAACCTTTTATATATACTGTTGTTTTTCCCACTCTTATAATTACAGAATAGAGAGAGATTCTAGTGACCTGAAACATATGTTTTCCAGGGTTAGTGCAAGGACTATCTTCCAATTTAAAGATTGCCCAAAATATATAAGAAATTCTTTTTTGGCTAAATACTCAAGAAACTAAATTTGGGTCAATCTCTATTCATTATTTCAACTGACTTCTAATTTTAAAAAAATAAATTAAATTTGGGTCAATGTCTATTTATTGTTTCAACTGACTTCTAATTTTAAAAAAATAAATAGAAGCTTGAGTTGAAAAAACTGCTGGTTTTAATAAGGTAATGTTTTTTAGTCGCTGTTTTTCAAAAGTAAGTTACTTAAGACATTTTAGCAAATATTTTTAGAAATTTAAAGAGATATTATCACAGGGTAGAATGATGCTGGGATATATCTTAATACATTAAGTTTAATTTGAAGAAAAACACCCAAGATAATGTGTATTACAGAAAGTTAAAGTTATGAGGCTAAAAGTAAAACATAAATTCAGACCTAAAAGTATCCCCTTGAGAGACAGCATGAGAGAATTGTAAGAGATATCATTTCACTGGCTTGGAAACTAAAGTAGACAACTTCTGAAGCAAGATTATTTATGAGAAGGAACAGGCAGATATGTTATTAGAATCCACACAAAAGACAAAAGTGAAGAAACTGAGTTTAAAGGCAGTAAGTAAGATATTAGAATAAAAAGTCAAGATATCTTAGAGACAAAAAATATTCAAAGTATTTCTAATATATAATCAGTATTTAGTAATTCTTAAGAAATAAAAAAGCTGTGTATAATACAATGGAAATGTGATTATTTTAAGAGATTTTTGCTATAGGGCGAGTAAGCTCACCACAGAAACAGAGACAGAGAGACAGAAAGCAAGAAATCACCTCCCAAGGAGGTTGGCCACACCACAATCCCTACTCCTCCATTCTCCTCTTGGGATTTTGGACACACACTCACACACACACGCACACACATGCCTCGCATGATTTTCAAGTTGCCAGATCCAGGACTCAAACTGTGGTTGACCACATGGGAGTCCAGTGCCTTAACCACTGTACCATCTTCTGGCTCCAGAAATATGATTTTAAAAATAATAATAATAATGTGCTAATAAAAAAAAGAAAAAGAAATAAAGAAGCAGGTCATCCTGTGGCCTGGTGGTTAAGGCAGCAGGATCTCACATAACTGACCATGCAGTTCAAGTCCCAGACCCAATAGCTGGATAAACACCTAGCACGTGTGCATGTGTGCCCAAAATTCAAAAAGTAAACCAGAGGAGAAGAGATTGTGACGTGACCATGCCCCATGGAGGTGTTTACCCTCTCCCTTTCTCTTTCTCTATCTCTATCTCTCAGTGCACACACCCTCTGGTAAAAGGAAAAAAAGTAATAAAAAAAAAAAAGGAAAAGAAAGGAAAGAAGGAAAAAGAAAGTAAGAATGAGAAAGAAAACAGAAGAGAGAAAGAGAGAAGAAAAAGAAGAGAAAAGAAGAGAGGGGAAAGGAGAGGAGAGAAGAGAAGGAAGAGAAGAGAAAAGAGAAGAGAGGAGAAGAGAAAGAAGAGAGAAGAGGAGTAAAGATGGAGGAGAGAAGAGAAGAGAGAATAGAGGAGGGGAGAGGGAGAGAAAAAAGAAAAAGAAAAGAGAGGGGGAAGGTAAAGGAGGAAAGGAGAGAAAAACAGAGAGAAGGAGAAGAAAGGAGAGAGGAGGGGAGAAGAGGGGAGGGGAAGAGAAAGAGTAAAGATGGAAAATCAGCACAAGATGCTTAAGCTGATACACCATGAAGTAAGATGGCACTGGGTCAAAAATTCAAACAAAAAAAATTGGGGAATCTTTGGTTTCCACATTTTTAATGGCATTGTTGATTCCTAAAGGCTCCTCAACTATGAGCTAACTTCTTTTTTCCCCCCATTGAGACCAAGAGAGTGATGGAAATGACACATCATTGCCAAATTAACAGATATAATGAGAGATCAAAAGCAGAGGCATGTTCAAATGAACATAAAAATACAACGGGAGGGGACCAACACATGCCGTAATGGTTACATCACTGGACTCCCACGTAGTCAACTGTGGTTCGTATCCTGGACCTAGTCTAGTCTTAAACCTCATGATGAGCACCTGTGCGTGTGGGCCCAACCCTGAAAGGAGAATGGGGGAGAAGGGATTGCAACATGATCATCCTCCCTGGGGGGTGATTTCTTACTTTCTGTCTCTCCGTCTTTCTGGAAAGTATATTTGCCCGATAGAAAAAAATCTCTAAAAAAAATAAAAGAAATGTAGGCATTTGTTTAGAAAGTAGGCTAGGAAATACATGAAAATCCTGAAAAGCAGTAATACAGAAAATTCTTCTGCATGACTAATTCAGTGGGAAAATAAGTGTTCTTGGGCTCCTCTGTCCTCATCATTGACTTCTTTCCTTTATACCTTCATAGGCTGGAAAGGGTAGAAATGAAAAACAAAACCTTTCTTACAGAATTCATTCTACTGGGACTAACAGATATCTCGGAGACTGAAGCTATCATTTTTATACTTCTCTTCCTCACTTACATATTCAGCATCATTGGAAATCTGACAATCATTACCCTCACACTATTGGACTCCCACCTACAGACTCCCATGTATTTCTTCCTCCGAAATTTCTCCTTCTTGGAAATTTCCTTTACAACAACTTTTACTCCTAGACTACTGTTTAGCATCACAACCGGAGATAAGACCATCAGCTTTGCCGGATGCTTCACTCAGTATTTCTTTGCCATATTTCTTGGGGCCACAGAGTTTTACCTTCTAGCTGCCATGTCCTATGACCGTTACGTGGCCATCTGCAAACCCCTGCATTATACTACCATCATGAGCAACAGGGTCTGTATTCAGCTGGTTCTCTGCTCCTGGTTGGGAGGATTCCTGATCATCTTATCTCCAATCATCCTGACCAGTCAGCTGGATTTCTGTGCATCAAATGTGCTGAATCATTACTATTGTGACTATGGGCCACTCATGGCGATATCCTGCTCAGACACAAGACTCCTGGAACTGATTGACTTTATCTTAGCAGTTGTGACCTTGGTGGTCACCCTGGGGCTGGTGATTCTCTCCTACTCAAACATCATCAGGACTATTCTGAAGATCCCCTCTGCTCAGCAAAGGAAAAAGGCCTTTTCCACATGTTCTTCCCACATGATTGTCATCTCCCTCTCCTATGGCAGCTGCATCTTCATGTACGTAAAACCATCAGCAAAAGATGGAGTTGCCTTCAATAAGGGAGTAGCTGTGCTCAATACCTCAGTTGCCCCTTTACTAAACCCATTCATTTACACTCTAAGGAATAAACAAGTAAAACAAGCCCTCAAAGATGTGGTCAGAAAGATCATGAGTCTTTAATAAATGTAGTGACCTCAACCTCAGTGGAAATTATGGACAATATTCATGAAGTTCCTCTCCTCAAAAACTCAGGGGAGAGTCATTGCAGTACATTCAGCTCCATAGAGACAATGCCAGGGCAAGCGAGAGACAGACGGGCACTGGGAAACTCTGTGCCTCTCAGAGGAAAGGTAACAAAACCTAGGCAAAGAAGATTCTAAGAAGCCAAGAGGCAAAATGTCATCATATGCATTCTTTGTGCAAACTTGCTGGCAGGAGCACAAGAAGAAGCACCCAGATGCTTCAATCAACTTCTCAAGAGTTTTCTAAGAAGTGTTCAGAGAGGTGGAAGATCATGTCTGCTAAAGAGAAAGGAAAGTTTGAAGATATGGCAAATACGGACAAAGCCTGTTATGAAAGAGAAATGAAAACCTATATTCCTCCGAAAGGGGAAACAAAAAAGAAGTTCAAGGATCCCAATGTACCCAAGAGGCCTCCTTCGGCCTTTTCCTTATTCTGTTGCGAATATCGTCCAAAAATCAAAGAAGAACATCCTGGCCTGTCCATTGGTGATGTTGCAAAGAAACAGAGAGATGTAGAATAACGCTGCTGCAGATGATAAACAGCCTTATGAAAAGAAGGCTGCTAAGCTGAAGGAAAAATACGAAAAGGATATTGCTGCATACCGAGCTAAAGAAAAGCCTGATGCAGCAAAAAAGAGAGTTGTCAAGGCTGAAAAGAGCAAGAAAAAGAAGGAGGAAGAGGATGAGGAAGATGAAGAAGATGAGGAAGATGAAGAGGATGAAGATGAAGATGATCTTGATGAATAAGTTGGTTCTAGTGCAGTTTTTTTTCCCTTGTCTATAAAGCATTTAATCCCTCTGCACACAACTCACTCCTTTTAAAGAAAATAAAATGAAATGTAAGGCTGTGTAAGATTGTTTTTAAACTGTACAATGTCTTTTTTTGTACACTTAACACACTACAGAATATCTTTAGATAGCCCTGTCCTGGTGGTATTTTCAATAGTTACTAACCTTGCCTGGTACAGTATGGGGATTGTAAGTTGCCATGGAAATTTAAAGCAGGTTCTTGTTAGTACACAAATTAGTTATATATGAGGATGATAGTTTTTTCATCTTCAGTTGTCTCTGATGTAGCTTATACAAAATAATTGTTGTTCTGTAAACTGAATACCACTCTACAATTGCCAAAAAAAAAAAGTTACAGCTGTTTTGTTGATATTCTGAATGCTTCTAAGTAAATACAATTTTTTTAATTATAAAAAAACTCAGGGGATACATCTCTAAACCTTTTCTTGTTGAAACAACATCTCAGGTGAATTTTTTATAAAGAAGTATCAAAATCACATTTCAAAATTTCCAATAAAAAGACTATCTTCCTAAACACTTCAAATATTTCCTTCTAGTAAGTCTAGTAGACCAAACATCTTAAAAATATGCAAAGATATAAAACAATACATTTCTCTTCACAATATTATGTAAATATGGCTTTTTAAAATAAAACATGTTGGGATCAGCAGTTGGTGTAATGGCTATGTCATTGGACTCCCATGTAGTCGACCGTGGTTCAAGTCCTGGACCCAGTGGCTTAAACTCACACCAGGCACGTGTGCGTGCATACCCAAGATCCTGAAAGGAGAATGGAGGAGAAGGGTTTGTAGTGTGGCCATCCCCCCTGGGGGGGGGTGATTTCTCACTTTCTATCTCTCTGTCTCTCTCTTTCTGGCGAGTGCTCATGCCCTATAGCAAAAAAAAAAAAAAAACTCTCAAGAAAAAGTAAACATGTTATTTCAACTAAAAAGAAGTTTTTCAGTTATTTTAAAACAAATTAATATATAAATTTTTCAAGTTCATTTTAATTTCTAATATACTAAAAAATATAGTCCCCAATTAAACAGATTTTTCAAAGGTAAAAACAGCTAGACAACATTGCTAGTCTAAGCATTGGAAAGGAATGAATATCTGACAAAATTACTAAGATTGTCACAGAACTAATGGTAACATTTAGCTTTACACGGGGGGCTATTAATTTTATCTATGTGTTTAAGAAAGACAACCAAAGAACCAGCAGGTGGCGGTATGGTTATGTCACCAGAATCCCACATAGTCCACTGCAGCAGCTGAAGTCCCGGCCCTTGCAGCTTAAAACTCACGTGGATGTGTGTGCGTCAATACCCAAAATCCTGAGAGGAGAATGGAGGAGAAGGGATTGTGGTGTGGTCATTCTCCCTGGGGATGGGGGGGGGGTAGGAGGATTTTATTGCTTTCTGTCTCTCTGTCTCTCTCTGTCTCGCCAGCAAGCACTCGCACCCTATTGCAAAAATCTCTCTCAAAAACAAAAAACTCTCTCTAAAAAAAAAGAAAAACATCCAAACTTTTTAGAAATACTCTATACTTCTTTTTTGTTTGTTTGTAACTGATGTTTATTAATTTTTTAAAAAACTTACATTCAATCATTGTGCATCTTTACAGTACACAGCATGGTTTTCCCCAGCATATATATTATTTACTGTATATTGTTACAGCATACATAATGAATTTTCCCATCCAACACATTGAATATTGACCCAGTCAAAGATATTACCTTCAACAGATAATTTTTCATTTTGTGTTTCTTAACTGTTTTATTTCTTTCTTTTTTCTCCTGGACTCCCTCCTTCTTACCTTCTGCCATATCTCACCCTCCTCCCACACTGTCTCTGGTGTCCACGGTTGCTCTCCAAGCCTTTATACTGTCCAATATTTCAATATTCTGCCATAGAATGAAGACGTTCAGAATATATTGATTGGGGACATACAAGGCTTCTCTTTCATTTTCTGATGTGCTTCATTGAGCAGTAAATCTTTCGTATTTGTCCACTTTCTATCAGGTACATGGATCTAATTTTTTTTAAGGCTGAGAAGTCAGAATGAAATTTTTTTAATGACCTGACTATAGGCAATCTGCCTTTTTTACTTTTAATGTACTTAAATCAATATATCCTGGCTTTTGGTACTATAGAATAGGTAAGGGAGCTGAGAGCCTGGTAATTACAGTTGCCACAATTGTATAAGCATAAAATGATCAAATAAAAGAAAATTGCTAAAACCGCCCAACTCAAAGGAAATTATACTGTTGCATTTTCTACTATTACTATCATCATTGCTTCAGTTCCTCACAGGATTTTATCCTGTTACTAATGTTCTCAAGGCAGCTTCCTTGTGGGTCCACTTGGAACATCTTCTCTAGATAACTGTTAAAATTTAATTCCCAATACTATTTTTTTTAAAGGAGGCTAATTAACATTTTCTAGACGTGGGTCCCCAGGGTGATAATTTATCCCCCAATGTCTCTGCTGAGAAAACTAGATAAAACATGTATCACTCAAACTGGTACAAAATTTCAAAGACTTCCTACCATAAGCAAACTTCAGATAGAATGGCTAAAATAAGACTTTGAAGGATAGAATGTTCCTCTACTCTTTGATTATTTTAAGTCATACTTCGTCTTTGAGAGTTATGGGTCTAGTTCCAATTTGGATCAATTGAAAAAAAAGCAGTAATAAGCAGTTGATTAAAGGCAAAAAGAGCTAAAAACCATTTCTTTTCAAACTAGTGCCCAAGAAGTCTATTTGCTCGTGAGTGATCAGGACATGAATTATTATTAGAAAGGGAAATATGTTACATTTTATTCTACCTCTTCTTCCATACCTGACCTCTCCACTTTGACTCACCACCCACAGAATCCAAAGGTAGAATTCCTCATCATCTTTCTTCAGTGTCAAAAAGTAAGTATGTCCATAGTTTATCAATGTAATCCTTTTATTGATGGATTATGAAATCTATCTGAATGTGACTTTCTACTATTCTTTGGCGCTTTTTTTTTTTTTTATTGTAAAGCTCACTATAGGGCTTGTTTTTAAAGTTTCGGATGATCAAGATGAGAATAAAAAAGGTCTTCCATCCTTCGCACAGTGACATTCCAGAAATAACTATCACTGACCATATGATATTCTCCCAGACATTTGTCCATGTACTTAGAAATACAGATATAAATTTCCAGCTTATTACAGATAAATCACACTATATGTAGCATCATCTATTTCACTAGCAATATATTATAATCTTATCCAAGTCAGTACATATAGATTTCCAATTTTACTCCACAATTTTAAAAATGATCATAATTTATTTAGCTGTTTATCTATTGTTGGGATTTTTATATTTATAAGTTTTTATTATTACAATAATAAATGGGTTTTTTGACTACCAAAGACCCTCTGCCCAGACTTCACCCTCTTGCTCCCCAGTCTAGCCAGGAGCCTGGTTGGAGCACTGCACTTATTCTCTCTGTCTCTTTCCATCTCTCTCTATCTCTGTCTCTATCTTTACTTTCTTTTTTATTTTTAACTTAGCTCTCTGCTGCTCTTTTGCCTTTCTAATTCTTAAGATTTCCCCTGCCCCCATAGGATAAGCCAATCAGCACCCATTCATGGGGTGCAGTATTCATTTTTTTTCTCTTTTTCTCATTGTTTTTTCTTGTTTTTTCTCTTCTTTGTTTTTTTTTTTTATATATAATTCATTTTCTTTTTCTTTTTACCTTTCTCACTTTTCTGCTCAACCTCCATACACTGATTTTCTAAACAGGTCTAGGTGCTCAGCAGCCAAATATCTGAATACTTTTAGGGTCAGATTAATTTCAATTTTCATTGAATCAGTTGTGCAAAGGTACTGTTTACAGACTGCAGGTCGCTTTCTTCTGCATTCCTCTGATTGTTAAGATTAAATTTAAAAAAATAGAAAAAAAAAGTATAATCCATCAGATGGTCAGAAACCATCACAGAGGTGCAAGAAATATGAGAAATGAAGAAGGTAACTCTTCTCTAATGGAAAAATAATGACTCTTCTGCCACCACAGAGAATACAAGGGAACTCATGGAAATGTCAGATATTATAAATATCCTTAGTGACAAAGCTAACAGAGATGCAAGAGAATAGAGACAATGAACTCCAGAAGATGCAGAAGAAAAGAGATACCACTTTCCAGGAGATGAGGAAGTTCTTGCATGATCTGAAAGAGGAGATACACATCATAAAAAAAGAATCAAATGGAACTGTTAGAAATGAAGGCTGTAATACAGAGAATCAAAACTTCCACTGAAAGTATCAAAAGCAGATTAGATCATACAGAAGACTGAATTACAGACATAAAAGATAGAACCTCTCTTTTTTTTTTTTTTTTTTTTTTGTACAGGGTAAAGATAGTTACCATAGCAAGAACTTCACACCAACTTTCCTGTGAACTCTGCTATTAATTACAGAGAGCCTACGCTTCATGGAAAACAATGCACTCCTTATAGTGAAGATATAATTCATTATTCTTATCCTCTGCCTTCAAATTATGATAGTCTTCTAAGTTATGAAGTAATTTAAAATTACAAATTAAAGACTTCTTAAATATATAATTTTAAAGGAATGCTTAGGGGAATTTACAATGAATACAAATGGTGCCTTTTTTTCTCATTTAGTTAATGTAATTTCTATTATTCATTTCAGATGCCGTTATCATTGCATTTCATACTTGTGCTATGAATAGTATTTATTATTCAATATTCCAGAAGAAGAAGAAACTAATAAGGGTATTGATAATCTATTCCATGAAATCCTAGAAGAAAACTTTCCAAACCTAGAGAGGCACTCAAATATCTGGACCCAAGAAATAGAAAGGACTCCACACAGAATTGACCCAAAAAGATCTTCCCTGAGGCACATCATACCCAGATTGACCAAAACCACAGACAGAGACAAGATACTAAAATTGGCAAGAGAGAAACATCAAGTTACTTTCAAAGATTACCCCACAAGGCTAAGGTTGGACCTCTCATCAGAAACAATGCAAGCAAGTAAAGAATGGGAAAATATATTCAAAGTGTTAAGTGAAAAACAATTTCAACCAAGAATGCTATACCCAGCACAATTATCTTTCATATGGGAAAAAAAGACAAAAACCTTCTCAGATAAACAAAACCTGAAAGAATTTACCAATGCCATACCAGCTCTCCAACAAGTGCTGAAGGGAGTGCTGTACCAGGAAAACTAAAGTTGGACACACAGAAATAAGAGTACAAGAAACAACTAAGAGAATGGCCAGCCTAATGGTAGTGACAAGTCCAGAGTTGAATGTTAACTTCCAGAGTTTAAATGGAAAGATCAGACCACAGTAACACTGCAAATTCAATAGAAGAGAGATTGATTATGTGAGTCTGAACTAGTGAAATAGAATTTTTTTACTTTAGATTACAATATCACTGATTTTCTTCGATGCTTTCATTTCCATATTTAATTATTTTTGTCTCCTCTTGAACTGTTGATAGGTTCTTCTACCTACTATTTGAACTGAATCCTAACCTTTTTTCTGGATTTAAGTTTTAAGCAAATTTCTCTTAACATTTTTTTATTTTGATTTATTAAAACAGAAACTTTTTTGAAATTAAAAAAATGCATTAAAAAATACCTATTAATAACCTGTTTAATAACTTCAGTAAGTTATATAACCCCAGCTAAGTGCTACTTTATAGTATGTTCACTTTACTCATTGAAGTTTATGCTTAACATCAGACATGAATTCATAAATATGTATATATCCACTGTGCTTGCTATTGAGAGTCTTTAAATTAATTAAGATGTTTATTGAATCAATAAAATGTGGAAAAAAGGCATGGAAAACAACTGTACATGCCAAAGACAGTGTGTGTGGGGGGGAGGGGTTGGAAGAGGGTGAGAGGTAGGGAATCAAGGGGGGGAGCAAAATACATAAGAAACAAGAAATAGAAAATTATTTGTTGATGATAACATGTTTGGTAATATCCTTGATTGAGCCAATATACACTGTATACTGGATGGAAAATCTTATTTTGTATACTCTATTCATGTACAGTGAATGACTATAAATAAATAAATAAATTTTTAAAAAGGAAAGAGTTGGGACCAGCAGTTAGTGTAATGGCTATGTCGCTGAACTCCCACATAGTCGACCACGGTTCGAGTCCTGGACCCGGTGGCTTAAACTCATGCCGGGCATGTGCGCGTGAGTGCCCAAGATCCCGAGAGGAGAATGGAGGAGAAGGGATTGCAGCATGACCATCCTCCCTGGGGGGTAATTTCTCGCTTTCTGTCTCTCTGTCTCTCTCTGTCTGTCTGGCAAGTGCACATGCCCTATAGCAAAAACCTCACCAAAGAAAAAAAGAAAGAGTTATCAAAAAGCCATTTAAAAATGATGAAGGAACACTTTTGAACAATCTATACACACTTGTGTAGTATTTCTGTGAACTATGAATGTGAATTTTTGAATGATAATACAGAAAATTCTCCAAGACTAAAGACCAGTGAAAAGAAAGTGCTTCAGAAACCTTGGAGTCCCAGTCACTGGGGGCATTACTTAGGTACCTACACCCCAGGGACCGCAGTTCGAGTCCCGGACTCAGTGGCTTAAACTCACGCCGGGTGCGTGTGCGTGTGTGCCCAAGATCCCGAGAGGAAATTGGAGGAGAAGGGATTGCAGCTTGGCCATCCCCCCCCCCTGGGGGTGATTTCTTGCTTTCTGTCTCTCTGTCTCTCTGTCTTTCCAGCGAGTGCAAGTGCCCTATAGCAAGAGACTCAAAAAGAATTTTAAAGAAAGAAGGGATCCAAGTCCTGGTAAACATTTCTCCCTTGTATGTTTAGAGCAGAAAAAAAAAAAAGAGAAAGTGTTTCATATAGAAAAGTATAATATTTTGAAGTTTTCTCGAGCCTACCCTAGGTACGAAAGTTAAAATACGTAACAAGAGCTATTAGCTCCTATTTATGGGTTAGATATTTTTATTGGGCACAGCGAAAGAACGGGGCAGGCGTCCAATATGCTGGAGAGGGCAGCAGTGTAGCAAGTAGCCAAGACACTAGGTTGGGAGAAGAAGAGGCAGTCTACTGTGATCGTAGAAGACAGGCTTCACAGATATGACAGGAAAATAAAACAAAGTGAGACTAAAAGAGCAAAAATAAAAATGTAGAAGATGCAATAAGGAGACCCAACTGACCATTGTGTTCTTCTGAGAAAAAGGCCTCAGAAATAAAGCCTCCTGCATGAGAACTTTAGTAATAGATCTTGTGAAGGGCCAGACTGAGACTAACGGACATTCTGTTTGGGTCACAATGGGAATTTCCCATAAACAATTTCCAGGGGAAATCTACAACTTGCCTTCAATGTCCCTGCTCTTCTCTTCCTCATGTTGCTCTTCCTCATTATCACAGACAGAAAAGTTAACAATGAAAAACCAGACTTTCACTGAATTCATCCTGCTGGGACTAACAGACATTCCAGAGCTTCAACTGATCCTCTTTATGTTTTTCTTCTTCATCTACATGTTCAGCATTTTAGGTAATCTGGTAATCATCATTCTCATACTACTGGACTCCAGCCTCTGGACTCCCATGTATTTCTTCCTCTGGAACTTCTCCTTCGTAGAAATTTTCTTTACAACCACTTTTACTCCTAGACTACTGTTTAGCATCTCAACAGGGAACAAGACCATCAGCTTTGCTGGATGCCTCACTCAGTATTTCTTTTCCATATTCCTCGGGGCCACAGAGTTTTTTCTCCTGTCCATCATGTCCTATGACCGCTATGTGGCCATCTGCAAACCCCTGCATTACACGACCATCATGAACAGCAGGGTCTGTATTCAGCTGGTTCTCTGCTCTTGGTTGGGGGGATTCCTAATCATCTCATTCCCAATCATCCTGACCAGTCAGCTGGAATTCTGTGACTCCAACATTCTCAATCATTATCTCTGTGACTATGGACCTCTCATGGAAATATCCTGCTCAGATACAAGCTTACTTGAGCTAATTGACTTTATCTTAGCAGTTGTGACCTTGGTGGTCACCCTGGGGCTGGTGATTCTCTCCTACTCAAACATCATCAGGACTATTCTGAAGATCCCCTCTGCTCAGCAAAGGAAAAAGGCCTTTTCCACATGTTCTTCCCACATGATTGTCATCTCCCTCTCCTATGGCAGCTGCATCTTCATGTACGTAAAACCATCAGCAAAAGATGGAGTTGCCTTCAATAAGGGAGTAGCTGTGCTCAATACCTCAGTTGCTCCTTTACTAAACCCTTTCATTTATACTCTAAGGAATAAACAAGTGAAACAAGCCTTTAAGAATGTGGCCAGTAAAATAATGCATTTTTCAAAGTGGTGACTACAGTTAACAATTTACTATACATTTCAAAATAACTAAAAGAGATTTTTTTATGTTTGCAACACAAAGAAAGGATAAATTTTGAGGTGATAGAAATACTAATTACCCTGAATTGATCATTACTCTTGGTATACCTGTTTCAGAATACCACACAGTACCATATAAATATGTATAATTATCAATGTATCAATTAAAAATTTTATATAGTACATCCTTACTCATTTTCATGGCTTCGAAATCATTGGAAATTTCAATAAAGTTCATAAAGTTTCTCCAACTGATAAAGTAAGCTTTGATCTCTCTTTTTGTTAAAATGATTTCTCAGATAAACTAAATGTGAGCACTTGTCAAAATTTTGTTTTGGAACCAGCAGTTAGCGTAATGGCTATGTCACTGAACTCCCATGTAGCTGACCACAGTTCGAGTCCCTGACCTGGTGGCTTAAACTCACGCTGGGCGCATGTGAGTGCATGCCCAAGATCCCGAGAGGAGAATGGAGAAGGGATCACTGCGTAGCCATCCCCCCAGGGGGTGATTTCTCACTTTTTATCTCTCCATCTCTCTCTGCCTTTCTGTCTTGCTATCAAGAAAAAAAAGATATTTTAAAAAGACCAGTTCAAATATCTTTTCTTGTATCTATTTTTTTAATAAATAAAAAGGCATGAAAATAATTTTGTTAGATCTGTATGAAAAAATAACCAGTTAAAAACTACTTTCTCTTATTTATTATAAATCTGGAGATCAATGGAATGAGTAGGCTATCAACCCACAAAAAACTCTTAGTTTTATCAATAATTATCAAAAAGCTGCAAGCACATTAAGTCAGAATGACTAGCTACTTCTCAAAAGTGGTTAAAGGTGTACTGAAAAAAAAAATCTATTCCAGATCTTCTTTCCTCAAGTTGAAACTATTTTATTTATGAAACTTATCCTGTGGGACCAGCAGTTAGCGTAATGGCTATGTCACTGGACTCCCACGTAGTCGACCGAGGTTCAAGTCCCGGACCCAGTGGCTTAAACTCACGCTGGGCGCGTGTGCGTGTGTGCCCAAGATCCCGAGAGGAGAATGGAGGAGAAGGGATTGCGGCATGGCCATCCCCCCTGGGGGGTGATTTCCTGCTTTCTGTCTCTCTGTCTCTGTCTGTCTGGCGAGCGAACGCGCCCTATAGCAAAAACCTCTCAAAAAAAAAAAAAAAAAAAAAAACTTATCCCTCTAACAACTCTTTTTTTCTTTTCTTTTTTTTTTTTTTTTTTTTGAGAGAGAGATATTTTTGTGATAAGGCATGTTTGCTCCTCCCAGGGAGATGGCCACTGCGATCCCTTCTCCATTCTCCTTGAGATTTTGAGCATGCACACACACACACACCCAGTGTGAGTTTTAAGATGCCAGGTCCAAGATTCAAACCATGGCCAACCATGTGTAAGTCCAGCAATGTAACCATTATGCCATTTGATGGTCCTCCCTCTGACAATTCCTTTTTTTTTTTATTTTAATTTGACCAGAGAAGGACAGAGTGAGAGCAAGAGCAAGAAAGAGAGAAAGTAAGAAAGTTAGTTGTGAGGTCCAGGACTCGAACCATGGTCAGCCATGTGAGAGTCCAGCGCCCTTAACCACCACGCCATCTTTCAGTCCCCCTCTGACAACTCTTAAGACTGCCTTTCTGGTGTCTCCTACCACAATTATTTCCTACTGTGAAATACAGCAGTAAATTTCATGAATGCACATAAGAACATTGCTGACACTCTGAGTGCTGAAATAAGAAAAAAAAACTGTTATGTGGGAATCGACTGGACTACGTTTAAAGGAAGACTAATGTGAAAGAAATCTCAGGCAATTTCAGTAATGATAGAAATGTGCCAACATGTGGCATGGTGGTTAAGGCATGGACTCTCACATGGCTGACTGCAATTCGAGTCCCAGATTTGGCAACTTGCTTTCTTATTTTCCCTCTCTCTCTCTCCCCATCTCTCTCTAGTGAGTTCAAATGCCCTACAGTAAATTTTAAAGATGATAATAATAATTAATAATTTTTTTAATTCTAAAAAAATAAGTGGTTCTCCATTGCTGCTGAGAACTAGTGATTTCAGGGAATAAGTGAAATAAGGATTTTCTACTGATAATTCAGCCTCCAGCCCCCCAGTCTCAAGTGGTAGGGTACCCCTCTATCCTTCTCTCTGTCTCTCTCTGTCTTGTTCTGCCTCTCTCTGTCTTCTCATTGTTTTGTTATTTTTCCTTTTAAAAATTTTTTAAGGTCAAGTATTCTCTTGACTTTCAGATCCTCCTTTATCTTGCTAATAACATGCTTTACCTCTCCCCACTAGGCTAAACAAGGGGCAGACCTTCAGAAGAAAACTCCTCCGTTGCTGCTGGGAACTAGTGATTTCACTCTGAGTGCTCACAAGAAGCAGAGTTTTTATTTATTGCATTTTTTAAATTAATTTTTGGTTGTTTTTTCTTCTTCTTTTTCTCTCTCTTTCTTTGTTTTTTTCCCCTCTCTCTCTGTTTTCTAATACTTTTTATTTTACCTCATCACTTTGCTGCTCAATCTCCATTCACTGAGTGTCTAAACAGATCTAAGGGAACTATAGCCAAATATCCAAATACTATTAGGGTTAACATATTCCTCAATATCCACTAAATCTGCTGCACAAAGGGATAAAAATGGAACGGCAAAGAGATTGTAGATCACCTCCTCCTGCACTCCACTGAATGCTCAGATTGAACTTCTAGAAATTAGGAAGAAGCATATAACCCATCAGATGACTGGAAATCACTGCAAAGGCACAAGAAATGTGAGAAACCAAGATAATACCTCCCCCCCAAGGGAAAAGAACAACTCCTCTTCATCCACAGACAATTCAATGGAAATTGTGGAACTGTCTGATAAAGAATTTAGAATATTCATAGTGACAAAGTTAACAGAGATGCAAGAGAAGAGAGACAATGAACTCCAAAGGAGGCAGGAAAATAGAGCCAAGGAGTTCCAAGAGGTGAGGAAGTTCTTGCACAATTTGAAAGAGAAAGTACACATCATTAAAAAAAATCAAACAGAACTGTTAGAGATAAAAGGTTGTAATACAGGAAATCAAAACCTCCCTTGAAAGCATTAAAAGCAGACTAGATCATACAGAAGATCAAATCTCAGATATAGAAAACAGAATTGCTAGCCTAAAAATATCCACCACAAAGATTGAGAAAATAGTCAAAAAAAAGTTATAATAATATATGAGAAATACTAGATACCATCAAACATCCAAACATTCGGTTAATTGGTATCCCAGAAGGTGAAGAGACTAATAAGGACATTGATAACCTATTCAATGAAATCCTGGAAGGAAATTTTTCAAACCTAGAGAAGCATTCAAAGATCCAGACCCAAGAAATACAAAGGACCCCAAATAGAATCAATCCAGGAAGATCTTCTCCAAGACATATTAGAGTCAGATTGACCAAAACCATAGACAAAGACAAGGTACTCAGACTGGCAAGAGAGAAATGACAAGTTACCTACAAAGGATATCCCATCTGGGACCAGCAGTTAGCATAATGGTTATGTCGCTGGACTCCCATGTACTTGACCGCGGTTCAAGTCCCAGACCCAGTGGCTTAAACTCACACTGGGCGTGTGCACGTGGGTGTCCAAGATCCCGAGAGGAGAATGGAGGAGAAGGGATTGCAGCATGGCCATCCCTCCGGAAGGTGATTTCTCACTTTCTGTCTCTCTATCTCTCTCTGTCTTTCTGGCAAGCGCACGCACCCTATAGCAAGAATACTATACCCAGCAAGATTATCCTTCATATGGGAAGAAAAGACAAGAACATTCTCAGATAAACAAACCTGAAAGAATTTACCGACACCAGACCGGTTCTCCAAGAAGTTCTGAAGGGTGTTACATTAGGGAAACTAAAGTCAGACACACAGAAATAAGAGTTAAAAAAAACATCTAAGAAAAGGGCCAGCTTAATGGTAGGGACAAGTCCAGAGTTGAGTATTATCTTCCAGAATTTAAACAGAAAGCTTGGACCACAACAGAAGTTAGATTAAGTACGTGAGACTGAGTTGATGAAATAGAATTTTATGGCTTTTGACTAAAACAATACTGATCTTTTTCTATGCTTTGTAGTCCAGATATAAGGATTTTTGTCTTCTCTTGAATTGTCAACAGATCCAGGTAACTACTATTTGAACAGCATCCTAGTCTGCTTTCTGGCTTTAAGTCTTAAGCAAAATTCTCTTAACATTTTTATTTTGATTTATTAAAGCTAAAACTGCCTTTCTTGAAATTAAAAAATATATTTAAAAATATCTATTCAATGACCACAGTAAAATATATATATATATATATGTGTGTGTGTGTGTGTGTGTGTGTGTGTGTGTGTGTGTATGTGCGTGTGTTAAGAGCTGGAGTGTTATGAGGGTATGCCCAACTTTGAGAGCTTACAGTTAAAAATTATTCTGAGGAGGTTGGGACTGTTAAGCATTAAAGACCTGTCAGGATCTTTTAAAGATTTCCACTCCTTTCTGCAGTCAGAATCCCTTGGCTGCCCTCTGACCCTTCCAATCATTGAGGTAATTGTAGCCCATGGCTTCTAGTATTTAATTGAAGCAACCTTATATGTAATACTTCAGGCCTCATCATCCTCATAGACATTAACAAGCCCAGTTCCACGCCCTCCACAACACTCTCTGCCTAAGGTCCAAGAAATTTCCCTAGAGAAATGTAGAGAACCAGTCACCCAAGTGCCTAGAAAATGGGCCATCAGCAAGAGCTAAGCCCAGCTCTCGCTTCTACCATCATCTGTAGTGAATGAGAGCTGTCACTGAACTTTTTGGTGATAATGGTACCCTTCTCAGAAGCACATTCCTCACATCTTTGGTGGAAAGTGTGCTCTGTAGAGCCTCCTGTGGAATAAATCTGGTGGGTCTTATTCTCTTATATCATATATCCATCCCATTATGTCTACCTCCCAACTCTCTTTAAAAAAAAAAAAAAAATTGATTCTGGGACCAGCAGATGGTGTAGTGGTTACATTGCTAGACTCTCACGTAGTCAACACAGTTCCAGGCCTAAACCCAGCAGTTTAAAACTCACACTAGGCACGTGTGCGTGCATACCCAAAATCGCAAAAGGAGAATAGAGGAGAAGGGATTGCAGCTTGACCATTCCCCCTGGGGGGTGATTTCTTGCTTTCTGTCTCTGTATCTTTCTCTGTCTTTGGCAAGCGCCTACACCCTACAGCAAAAATCTCTGATTAAAAAATTAAAATTCGAGTATGTGGATGTGCACATAAGAAAGAAAGGGAGAGACAAGCACCCTCTACAGGGTCTTGCTGGGATCCCTTCCTCCAGTCTGTTGGATCCTGAGCACCCATGCACATGCCCAGTGTGTCTTAAGCGGAGGATGGAACAGCAGTCACCATCTAACTTCTCTTACGCAGTACTTTACTGCTGCACCAGTCAGCCCTCCCTCAGCCTTTTTATTAACTCCTTTCCTATCCTCCAAGGCAACCCCGGTATTTCCACATGACTAAGTATGGGATGTCTCTGTTGTCAGGCTCTAAGAGCCACCCCAGCAATGAAGTGAGGTCCTCGCTAGGGTGTTAAATCCCATACCTTGAGAAAATGCTCTCAAGTCAATATATTCTAGCTCTGCCATTCTGGGCCCCAGTCAAAGCCCAAATCCAGGAGCACATCTCTGATCATCTTGTCACTTTTTCTGTAGATTTTTTTGCAAATTGTCTTGCTTACAACTTGTGGTGAGAACAACCATATCCTAACTTTATTAGTAATTACCAGTAATTACCAGAATCTGTGACCACACAGATTCCCCTGAGCATCATTTGTTTTTCTCTCTAAATTTATCCCCTGAGCCTGCTATAAAGAAGTCTATAAAGCAAGTGTCTCTTTCTACTGGGTGAAATCTACATAAAAGCCTCTTACATGACCTAAAATTTTAGAACCTTAGGTTCCTGAAAGAAACCATGGGCCACAGTACAAAGGGAAATCTTCCAACTCCAATTTGGACTCTCTCCAGCCTTTCTGCTACATGGTTTGGATGTTAACTGAGCAACAAAATTTTGTCCATGGATAGCTGTGTTTGGGGATTTTTGCTGCTGAAGGCACAGGTATCCTGGAGAAGGCCAGAAAGAAATAAAGAGTGAGTCAAAATCAAATTTCTATGGAAATCTAATTTTAAGGTTATATCTACTGAATTCCCTCCATGTTTTATTATAAATCTGAGCTCTTTCAAGAAATCATGTAAGTCATTCAGGCCTTTACACTGCCTGATTCCTTTTAATAAAATAATCAGAGATTTGTGGAGTTCATGTCCCTGGGCTGAAAAATCCCTGAGGCCATTTCCCAAAGGGAATAACAAGTCATTCTACAGAATAGGAGGGAACTATTAACAGCTGTCACATTTTTCCTTGCCAGCCCCCAGAAGTGACTTAAGAACAAAGTTTCCAAGTCATCAGGCAAATTCCCTGCTGCCTCTGGGAGTTCCCTTTTGTTCACTCAGAAAATAACAGATCAGAAATCTTTTAAATAAATACATACATACATACATACATACATACCATCCTGAGAATAAAGAACAGATTCTTCTCCCCAAAGAGAAAATGAGCCTCTTTGCAAAAACTGCCTGACTATGAGAGGAAAGAAGCATGTCCTAAGGCAAGAATTCTCCAAACATTTTTTTTAATTACCAGAGGTTGTGTGTGCTCACCAGAGAGAGAGACAAAAAGAAGGAGAAAATATTCCCCTCCCCAGTGAGATATGGTCACACCACAATTCCTTCTCCTCCATTCCTCCATTCTGTCAGGATTGGGAGCACACACACAAGCCCATCATGTTTTAGTCAAACCACCAGGCCAAGATCTGAACTGCAGTTGGCCATGTGGGATCCAATTTCCTTAACCACTACGCTATGGGGTAGGCCTATCCAGAGCTTTTTTTAATCATGCATCCCATCAGTAAAAATTTAAAAATAAAATTGAGGAAGTATTCCCAATATATGTGTATATTTATTACTTTTTGAACTATTTGCATATATATACTGTACAACTGCATAGTTTATGTTTTAAAATATATACAAGAACAGACTTTTTTTTTGGGGGGGGAGAGGTTTTTGCCTTAGGGTGCGTGTGTTCGCCAGAAAGACAGAAAGACAAAAAGCGAGGAATCACCCCCCCAGAGGGGATAGCCCCATCGCAATCCCTTCTCCATTCTTCTCTTGGGATCTTGGGTATGCATGCACATGTGCCCGTCATGAGTTTAAGCCACCGAGTCTGGGACTTGAACCACGGTCAACTACATGGGAATCCAGCAACATAGTCATTCCACCAACTGCTGGCCCCAGAACAGAATTTTTTAATCTAAAAATAAATGTCATGATTAGTCAACTTTAAGACACATTTCAACATCTCTGAAACTCACAGTTATCTTATGGTAAGTATTATTTTAGCATAATATCATAGTCTTGTTGACAGTATTTTTTCTTTTATAAGGGTACATGAGCTAATAGTATACCTCACGTTTTATTTTATTTTATATTTTAAGAAACAAAATATAACTAGAAGATTCTCATCTTTCTTTCTCATAACTCAATGGATGATGTGGCATATCTCATAATGTGGGTACTCCTCACGACAGTGACCCCCATGGAGTTCTTCAGCCATTGGTCTCAAACAAAAAAGAGTAAGAAAAATATGACTCACAAAAATATCGTAAGTTTTTCCCAGAGAAAAATCTTCTTTCTACTTAGTAGAGTAATAAGCCTGAGAGAACTTGTTGAACTTGATCACTATAAGAAAAACCAGGGGCCAACAAGTGGCATAAGAGTTAAGGCACTGGATCCTGCATGGCCAACTGTGGTCCAAATCCCGAACCTGGCAGCTTGAAACCCACACTAGGTGCATGTGCGTGTGGAAAGTCCCAAAACAAGAATGAAGAAGAAGGGATTGTGGTGTGGCTATTCCCACTGGGGGAGTGGGGGGCCATGATCTCTCACTTTCTCTGTGTGTGTATCACTCTCTCTCTCTAGAAAACGCATGGGCCCTATACCAAATATCTCTCTCTAAAAAAAAGAAGGAAGGAAGGAAGGAAGGAAGGAAGGAAGGAAGGAAGGAAGGAAGAACGAGAAAAGAAAAGAAAAGAAAAGAAAAGAAAAGAAAAGAAAAGAAAAGAAAAGAAAAGAAAAGAAAAGAAAAGAAAAGAAAAGAAAAAGTATCCCCCAGACACTTTCAGATTCTTGCTATTATCTTGGGCCAATAGTTGATTTCTCTAGCTTCTACCTCCCTCATCAAAAAATAGGCACAAGAAGCCTCATGATGTTTCATATCTACAGATAACTATCATGTATCATGCCCCAGCCACCCATATGAAAGGAAAAGGGTAAAGATAATAAAACATTCCCTGTCTTTAGGTACCACAGTCTAAATACAAATGTCAGAAGGTTTTAATGACCATTCAGTGTAAGCAAATGGCAAGATAAGTGAAAATGTCTTCTTATTCCAAAAATACATGCTACACACACACAAGCAATGCTTTCTGAAATAGGAACTTTTGTGAACACAGACCTGAAGAGATACATGCTGAAATACCCAGATGAACAAAAAACAGTCCATGAGCTGAAGGTGTTTTGGATCTGCAGAGAAGACAGGCTCTAGCCTATGTAACTGACTCACGAAAATAGAGCAGAGGTACAAACATCTGTTATGGGAGCCATGAGGAACCAGTTCATTCAACCAAGGGCTTACAGAAAAAGCTCCAGGTAGAGGGCACCCTTGAGCAGGATAGGGAAGGATGAGTAAATGTTCTAAAGCGGAATGGGGAGAGCAGCCGAGAATCCTTTGTAGGCTTTCTCAGAGGGTGAATGAATGAATGAGTAAGGGATGGAGGGAGGAAAATCACTGACATTCAATGATTCCTCACGGAATCTGAAAGACGTGACTGCTCTCTGGGAAAGAGCCTCTGAAGCTTCTCTGCTTCCCTGAATCCATGGAGAGGCAGGTGTATCACTCTCTCTCTCTAGAAAACGCATGGGCCCTAAAACAAATATCTCTCTCTAAAAAAAAGAAGGAAGGAAGGAAGGAAGGAAGGAAGGAAGGAAGGAAGGAAGGAAGGAAGAACGAGAAAAGAAAAGAAAAGAAAAGAAAAGAAAAGAAAAGAAAAGAAAAGAAAAGAAAAGAAAAGAAAAGAAAAGAAAAAGTATCCCCCAGACACTTTCAGATTCTTGCTATTATCTTGGGCCAATAGTTGATTTCTCTAGCTTCTACCTCCCTCATCAAAAAATAGGCACAAGAAGCCTCATGATGTTTCATATCTACAGATAACTATCATGTATCATGCCCCAGCCACCCATATGAAAGGAAAAGGGTAAAGATAATAAAACATTCCCTGTCTTTAGGTACCACAGTCTAAATACAAATGTCAGAAGGTTTTAATGACCATTCAGTGTAAGCAAATGGCAAGATAAGTGAAAATGTCTTCTTATTCCAAAAATACATGCTACACACACACAAGCAATGCTTTCTGAAATAGGAACTTTTGTGAACACAGACCTGAAGAGATACATGCTGAAATACCCAGATGAACAAAAAACAGTCCATGAGCTGAAGGTGTTTTGGATCTGCAGAGAAGACAGGCTCTAGCCTATGTAACTGACTCACGAAAATAGAGCAGAGGTACAAACATCTGTTATGGGAGCCATGAGGAACCAGTTCATTCAACCAAGGGCTTACAGAAAAAGCTCCAGGTAGAGGGCACCCTTGAGCAGGATAGGGAAGGATGAGTAAATGTTCTAAAGCGGAATGGGGAGAGCAGCCGAGAATCCTTTGTAGGCTTTCTCAGAGGGTGAATGAATGAATGAGTAAGGGATGGAGGGAGGAAAATCACTGACATTCAATGATTCCTCACGGAATCTGAAAGACGTGACTGCTCTCTGGGAAAGAGCCTCTGAAGCTTCTCTGCTTCCCTGAATCCATGGAGAGGCAGCAGAGAGATAAAGGAATAATGGAATTCAGGAGACATTTTCCCCGTCTTTATTCTAATTTCTGGTGATGCTATTTGCCCAGGGTTGCACACTTCTAGAAAGGGCCTGAGGTCCACAATGGGAAACCAGACTGCGGTGACCGAGTTCTTCCTCCAAGGCCTGACTGACACCAAAGAACTTGAGGCGGCAGTTTTCGTGCTTCTGCTGCTTGCCTATCTGGTGACTGTCTCTGGGAACCTTACCATCATCACTCTGACCTTACTGGACACCCGTCTGCAGACCCCTATGTACTTCTTCCTCCGGAATCTGTCCTGCTTAGAAATTTGGTTCCAGACTGTCATCGTGCCCAAGATGCTTTTCAACATGGCCACAGGGACCAAGACCATCAGCTTCGCAGGCTGTATCACTCAGGACTTTTTCCACATCTTCCTGGGGGCCACAGAGTTCCTCCTCCTCACAGCTATGGCCTATGACCGATATGTTGCCATCTGCAAGCCCCTCCACTATCCCGTGCTCATGAACAGCAGGGTCTGCACACAGCTCATCCTTACCTGCTGGCTCACAGGTTTCTTCTTCATCATTGTGCCTGTCATTGTGACCAGCCAGCTTCCATTCTGCAACACCCACATTAACCACTTCTTCTGTGACTATACACCGCTGATGGAGGTGGTCTGCAGTGGGACACAGGTGCTGGAGATGGTGGATTTTACCCTAGCCTTGGTGGCACTGCTTAGCACCTTGATGCTAATCACCCTGTCCTATGTTCAGATCATTCGGACAATTGTCAGAATTCCTTCTGCCCAAGAGAGAAAGAAAGCTTTTTCCACTTGTTCCTCTCATGCCATTGTGGTTACTATGTGCTACGGCAGCTGCTTCTTCATGTATGTCAAGCCTTCTCCAGGCAAGGGGATTGATTTAAACAAAGGAGTGTCTCTAATCAACACAATTATCGCCCCCCTCTTGAATCCCTTCATTTATACTCTCAGGAACCAACAAGTTAAGCAGGTAGTAAAAGACCTACTCAGGAAAATGACTTGGTTCCAAAATAAATAAAAGCCCTCCAAGGCATCTTCTAGGGAAAATGGGTGGTGTCTTCCCCAGAGTAGATCCAGAAGATGCCAAGATGACCAGCAAGGTTCAAGGGGTCAGGCCTCCATGCCACTCCCACCCCCACCCCAGGAAGGTGCAGACTCCCCCACAGGCCATGAGGAAGGTATCTTTTTATAAGAGGAGTCTATTGTTACCTAGCCTCAGCCTTAGGTTTTCACTGAAACAAATGGTAACAAATGAGGCTGTGACCCCAGAAGTCCGACCCTAAACCAGCAACAGCTGTGGTTCATCATCATGCCCTTGTCATTTCTATCACCTATAATGTCAGTAGATTCATTTACAGTTTCTAAAGCACTTTCTCATCATTAATCTCATTTAATCTTTACAATAACCCTGTGAAGTTGGTGGATAAGGTCCTAATCACATTTTTGTTGAGATATTGATACTCAAATTGTTTAAATGAATTGCCAAAGATCATACTGAAAACCAGAATTCAAACCCAAGATTTCTGGATCTAAAAGCAATACCATATTTTCTACAGATGTGGAATATATGGCTTTATTAATCATCTATTGCTGCCTATAAGTTACTCCCAAAACATAGCAGCTTAAAAGAGCAAATATTGGGACCAGCAGTTAGTGTGATGGCTATGTCGCTGGACTCCCACATAGTCGACCGCGGTTCGAGTCCCGGACCCAGTGGCTTAAAACTCACGCCGGGCATGTGTGCGTGCGTGCCCAAGATCCCGAGAGGAGAATGGAGGAGAAGGGATTGTGGCATGGCCATCCCTTCTGGGGGGTGATTTCTCGCTTTCTATCTCTCTGTCTCTCTCTGTCTGGCGAGCGCACGTGTCCTATAGCAAAAACTTCTCAAAAAAAAAAAAAAAGAGCAAATATTTGTTATCTCAGTTTCTGTGGGTTAGCTATTTGTGTGAAGCTTATCTTGGTGCCACTGGTTCGAGGTCTCTCAAAAGGTTGCAAATAAGCTATCTGCCATGGCCGTGGTCTCATCTGAAGACTCAGCTAGGAAAGGGTTCACTTCTGGAGTTTATTCCAGTGGCTGTTGGCCATCCATAGTTCCTCGGAAACGGTTGCCATGTGGGCCATGCCATTCAGCAGCTCACAACGTGATAGCTGACTTTCCCCAGAGGGAAAAAAAAAAAAAGGAAGAATGCCTAAGACAGGAGTCTTTTGCAACCTAATGTTAGGAGGAACACAACACTACTTTTGTGGTATTCTATTTGTTAGTAGCAAATCACCAAGCTCAGCCCACATTCAGGGGAGGAGACCACACAAGGACTTCTCAGAAGACAAGGGGCAATAGCCGTAAATGTCCTGCTCTTCCTATTATGTTGTTTAAAGAATCTGGGAAGCACATTCTTAGCTTCTTTAAAAGACACTTTTTATGTGAATGAAAACTACTCTGAAGCAATACCTTGATATTTCCAAGGTCGTAAGGTATTTCAGAAACACCCTTGACTTCATCTTTGTACCCGTTTTCCAGACAGTGCTCCAATTTGAATCCTTACTCAGAAGCCATTACATAATTTTAGCATTATTTACCATTATGATATAATTTCCAAAAACCATCACTGAGTCGTGGACTTTTTTTGTTTAACCATCCTTACTTCAGCTTTCCTCTCTCTTCTTCCTATAAACAACCAGAAGGTATCAGGTCACACTTTCAACCCTCTGCTTAGAACTCTCCTTAGCTAGATTACCCAGTTCACTGAGTACGTTTTCTTCTTTCCACATAACTGCGGGAGACAGTGTTACTAAGTTTTGCCATTACATAACAAAGATCCTTTGCTATGGTTTGAATGTTTGTCCTCTCCAAACCTCTTGTTGAAATTTTTTTTGGTACAATTCCTTCGCTTTTTACTAATTTCAAAGAGTTATACGTATTCATACATTTTACATATATGTGCATTAACATTTTTACACATGCATATGCACAAAAGCGGATTCGAATTGATATATATCTTGTTGAAATTTAACTGCCAATGTCACAGTATTGGGAGATGGGGCCTTTACGAAGTGATTAAGGGGCCAGCAGGTGGTATGGTGGTTAAGGGCGCTGGACTCTTTGGAGTCCTGGGCCTGGGGCATGCTTTCTCACTTTCTCTCTCCACCCTCACCCCCAAGCATATATGCCCTATACACATTTTTAAAATAAGAATAAATAAAATTTAATTTAAAAAGAAGCAGTTAAAACATAAAGGCTCTGCCGCATGAGTACTCTTTATAAACTGTGTTTGTGGAGTGAGTTTTCTCTCGCTCTCTATCCTATGTGCTCACTTCTCCTTCACCACAGCCGTGGGGCAACATGGCACAAAGGCCCTCACCAGAGGCTAGCACCTTGATGTTGAACTTCTCAGCCTCCAGAACAGTGAGAAATAAATTTTTCTTTTCTTTATAAATTAGCACATCTGTGATACTCTGTTACAGCAGTACAATACTAACTATAAAATCTCCTTCACTAGTTTCCAGTACAATTTTCCTCACTTTTCTCAAAGCCCTCATCCACAGCATCTTAAAATTCCAAAATTCTATAAAACATTTCCCAAAGTTAAGTTTCCACTAATAGTCCCCAAAATCTTTAAAGCGTTTCCAGCTTCCACCCACCCCTGGCCCCAAGCACTCTTACATTTTAGGTATTTGTTATGTTAGAGCAGCACTCCATTTCCAAGTACCAAAAGCAGTACTTGTTATTTATTGCTGCTTAACAAATTACTCCCAAAACCTAGTAACCTCAAACAAAAGTCGTTTACTATTTAATAGTTTTGTTGCGCTAGTAATCTAAGAGTTCATTAGCTGAAGGACTCTGGGCAAGGTCTCGCATGAAGTTGCCATCAGACTCTCAACCTGGGCTGTGCTCTCTTTGGAGGACATGAAAAGGGAGGATTCATTTCCAAGCTCATTCATCTGGCCACTCACATCATTCGATTCCTTCCAGACTGCTGGTCAGAGTCTCTCTCAATTCCTGGAAATACATGCCACTCCAAAAGAGAGTTGATAATATAGCAACTGGATTTCCATCAAATCAGGTGAACAAGAGAGCACCCAAGAGAGAAGCTAGTCTTTTTGTAAATTAATCTCAGACATAGTCTCCCATCACTTTTGCTATATCTTCTTTTTTTTTTTTTTTTTTTTTGCGGGGGAAGGGGAGAGTTTCTTGCTATAGGGTACATGCACCGGTGTGAATTTAAGCCACCGGGTTCTGGACTCGAACTGCCATTGACTACATAGGAGTTCAGCAACATAGCCATTACACTAACTGCTGGTCCCACCATATCTTCTTCTTAGAAGTAATTCACTGGAAGTCAATCTAGTGAAAAAGAATGTATTACACAAGGGTATAAACCAAGAGGTAAGGACTATTGGGGGCCGTCTTAGACGCTGCTATCCTATGGGCAGTAAAGTTGATTTCTCTAGAGAGACTACTCTTCAGCTTAACAAGACGTGAAGGCTGACCAAGAGTTTGTTCTCTCTACCATTGCCAAGAAACCAAGAAAACTCAATGATAAAACAATTTTAAACCTAGGACTAACTCGCTAACTGAGAAATAATTAGGTAGTTGGAAAGATAGGAAAACATGCTCCACGTGGCATAGAGGTTAAGATGCTAGACACCTACATGGTCAACAGTGGTTCAAGTCCCAGACCTGGCTACTTGAAAGTCACACCAGCAAGTATACGTGTACACTCAAAATCCCAGGAGAGTGGAAGAGAAGGGATTGCAGCATGCCCATCACCCTAGAGCCAGCTGCCGTAACCACCCTTTAAAAAATATTCTCTCTTGGACTTTGATCTGTAATTGCTTTAAGCTGTTTGGCTATGTGGGATCCACCCATCTTAACCAGCAGGCCATGGGCTGGCTCCATACCACGTTTTTATTTTTTTTTATTAGGTTTTTGCCATGGGGCACATGTGCTTACAGGAGAGAGACAGTGAGAGATTGACCAGGTGGTTTCAGATCTCTTTACCCAAGAAGCCTGACTTTAATGTGTTTTCTTTTTTTCCTTTTCTCTTTGTGCTCACCGGAGATCGTGAGAGAAAGAGGGAGAGAGGGAAAGTGAAAAACAACCCTGGGGGCATGATCACACTGCAATCCCTTTTCTTCCACACTCCTCTGAGGATTTCAAGCATGTGCCCATATGACCCCAGTGTGTTTTGAAGCCACTGGGTCTAGGCCTGAACCTCACAGCTGGCCATGTGGAATCCAGCTGCCGTAACCACCGCATCACCAGCTGGCTCATTGAACGTATTTTCTGTGTGAAGTAAGGACTTAAAGTCTCCCAGAAAGTTCAGAAGCCTCTGTGACCCCACACCCCCAGCTTTTCTGGGCCACCCTTCTCAAGTGACTCTGTTCCCCAAGAATCAAATTCTCTGCTGAAGGTGATGATCTACAAGAGTGATACCCAGAGCTGCCTAGTCTGAGTATGTGTTTCTCAGAAGCTGGGAAAATAGGTTGGCAAAGGATGTACTGCTCTGCCCACTTCCCAGCCTAAATCTGTTGATTAAATGTGTTTCTTTTCTTTTACAAAGCCCAGTAAGACACCCAATTTATGATCCAAGTTAAAGTAAACACGTTTTATGTACCATCACTCTTCGGTCTCATCTTAAGCACTGCATTCATGGCTAACAAATTCATTCTGTCACCCATTTCAAAGTTATTGTCATATGAAAATAATTCCTGTGTGAGGCTCCCACAGGACCTGAGGAACGGGTGCTGGGGGACTGAGGACATAGGACATGGTTTTTAGCATGTGTACAGGTAGAAGAAACCAATTTCTCACAAAACAGTCAATATTCCAGACAATTTAAGTAAATGGCTCCCTCTAGTGGAACATTTTGTTTTTACAACGTCACAACCCACATAAAAGAAACTCCTGAGTGAAATCACTACCCAGGAAGGATTCAATCAAACGCCTCCTTATTGTTTTTGTTGTGTTGTTGTTGTTGTTGTTGTTGTTTAAAAAATATGTCACACCTTGTGGGGCCA